TAAATAGAAAAATAACAGCAAAAAGAAAGTGAGAAGAAGCCTTCGACGCGTACCACTGGAGGTCTCCTCGGCTACCACGAACCACCTTAGCTCACTAGCTCCTCTCATAGCCTAGCTCGCCACTCTTTGAAGCTTTATCAATGGAGGCATACCAAAGAAGAAGAAAGGAAAAAGGAAAATAAAAATGAGATTTTTTTCTGCTCTGCCTGTATGCCTATGCGTGTGTGTCATTCTCTCCCTTGTGAGGTGTCATATATAATAAAAAATATCTAGTGGTAATGATGAGGTTGTTGGGTGATGTTGGTTGCAAAATACCCCTCATACCCCTAGAATCACTCCATATGCATGAACCTTATCCTCCAGGTGGCAGTGGTCTTTGGCATGCGGTTATAGCCATCATTTCACATGCAGAGCCAGTTGTCCTCGTACAACTGTATCTTTTTGTCATTTTCTATGCCAGAAATGCCAAGGCATTTCAATCCGCTTCAGCAACGTGTGATGCCATGTCATTACTTCCCAAAGAGACCCTTTTTGCTTGATATTCCCTGCACACCACAAACAACTGCACCTTTCTCTCATATAACACCCTTAAGAGATAAAATAACACTACCACCACAAATGCAACTATATGCAACTACATGATCCTAAAATGACTAAAATGAGCTTTTAAAAAAACAATAACTTAAGTGAAAAGGCCTTAAAAGTAGTCTTTTTATGAAGTTAACACACCCCCAAGCTTAAGCTATTATTTGTCCTCAAGCAATGGATAACAGTTACATAAGTAGAATGTCATGGAAACTTTCAACAATAAGATAGTAGGACAAAATTGAATTTCAATCCTCAGAACAATAGGCTTCAACATGCTAGACATATCAAGAAGTCAAGTACTTTTCCTTGGGTCAAGATTCTTTGTGGTAGTGTGTGTGCGTGATTGTATCCAATCTATACTTAGCAAACTTAGAAAATTTCTAATCAAGTCTCCTAGTTTTTGTCAATGCATTTACTTATTCATTAAGCACATTTTTACTCCCTTTTTTCTCAACTTTTTTTAGATGCTGTTACGAAGGGAGTCAGCTCATCACACTTGCTCTTCTACACTCTAGATGAAAGGGAGCATACCTTCCACCCCGAGCTAGTTAAGTAGAGTCATCACGTGACTACTTTCATTCACTCATATGCACGAGGCTGCCATTTATTAAAAAGAGTTCCAGACAATGCCACGGAAAAGAGGAGTGTCCCTCTATAGCTATGCCTAAGCATTTATTCACAGTCTCATATATAGCGAGTTGTTTTTTAATTTTCTTTTAAGTACAATACCATATTTCAATGCCAAAAGTAACTAGTGTTCCTTTATAAAAAATTTCTAAATTTCCTAAGTATAGAGAACATACAAATCGTGTAAAAATAATTCACAAAGCATCAAACCCTAGAGTGAGTTTTATCATTCTCAACAGGCATTTACATTCAAATTCTAGCCTAACAAATTCATCATCATCGGGTATTCTCAAAACATTCTATCTAACTGTCCTACTATTTACTGATGTCATGGCATAATACTACGCTAATGCTATCATGTATATGCTCTACCGAGAACACAACCTCCCCCAAACTTAAGGGAAACATTGTCCTCAATGCTTAAAGAGAACTAAACTAAATAAAAACTAAATTCCATGCAATGAAATGCAAACTAAATGAAAATGAATGCAAGTGAGGTACCTCATGGTTTGCGTGGTAGTGTTGCCTTGGAGCTACTGGCAGCTCCTCGTTTGGTACGCTTACGTAGTGGTGCTGGGCTGGACTCTGAAGAACTGGAGTCATGACGCGCAATATTGAAGCATCCAGCCATGGTTTTGGTGCGTCTACCACTACGTGGTACAGGAGAATGATCGGGTAAGGAACATGACTGGGTGTTTCTTCAATAGGTACAGTAGGTGGATATTCAGGGGTCTCAGAATAGTGTGGATTAGGAGTTGGTTCATCAATTGGAGGATCGACTGCATCTTTCTCAGGCTCAGGAGATGCCTCGGTATTGAATGCTGGGAAAATTTCATCCGGAAAGCCAGGGAAATTCTGTTGAACGCGGGGAAGAATTTCTTGAAACATCGCTTCCACCACATTATCTCTACGCTTCATAACCAAAGAATTTACGATTGTCACCATGTAAAGCATGTAGGTGAGTCTGAGTCTGCATCACAACTTCCTCGAGAGGAAGCAACCTTGCCTCGGCATTTGATTGTTCAGTACCTACAGATTGCTCATGAGAAGGGTCCTTAGATTTTTTTATTTTCGAGTCCCAATAACAGTGGTATCTAACCCTAGTTATGCCCGAAATTCTAGGTAAAATCTCATCAAAAGCATTCTCATTAACCTTTTTACTTACGACACAAAGTAGTGATTAATAGGGAACACTAAAGCACTTGCCTTTTTACCCAAATATTCATGAACTTGATGAACAATAATTCGACCAACATCAATAGGACGGGATACCATGATCGAGTGTAAAAACATTAAACGAGAAAGTGATACTATAATATTATGAGATGTAGGCATGATCTTGTGTTTAAGGAAATGGTTCCATAACTTGGCGTGCAGTTGAAGACACTCACGGTTGACTGAATATCGACCATTCCACTTGGTGTTTGCGAAGCACAAGTCATCCAAAATCTCATCGTAGGTGATGCTATCGACATCATTTTTGAACGTGGCATGTCTGTTATCCACATCCTGTAAATAAAAATACCTATTAATCGCAGAGGGTGTAAACCGAATCTGTTTGCCTCGCATGAAAATGGAGTGTTGGTTCGGTTTGGAGATGTTGGCGTAAAATTCCTTAACCAACAAGGCATTAACCGAACCCGAATGCCTTGCAAACTTCTTCCAATTGAGTGGAGTAACAATGTCCATCACGTCCGGTCCAAAGCCACCGTCGACTTCATCGGTAAAAAAAACCCAACTCAAAGAAGAGTTTTCGGTTCTTGAAATTTTGAAACCGTGCCTTGGCTTCATCATTCTTGAACTGTTGCACAGTGGAGACCTCAGTTACAGGTCGGTCTTGTACGCACCACTTTCAGCGTTTGTGAAGCAAGAAAAATGAAAAATGAAGAAACTTTGATGGTGTTAAAAGCTTGAAGGATTTTTGGCTATGGAGAAAATGAAGGAAGAATATGAAGAAATAAGTGAAAAAAAGTAAGTTCAGAATGAAAGAGAAAAAGTTAATAATAAAAGAGAAAAAGAAAAAGTTAAAAAATGAGAGGGAAATGGGTGATAGGACAGTTAAAAAAATGAGTGAGTGGGGTTTAATACGTGTATGGGGAAGGAAAAATAACCTGCCAAAAGTAATGATGATGATGAGACAAAACTGTGGAGAGAGAAAAGTAGAAATCAGAAATAAATAAATTAAATTAAAAAGAAACAAATCAAAAGAATATCTTCCCCATTTAAAGCGTTGTCCTTTCCTCCTTTTGGTAACCGCACCCTGGACGGCTTTCAGTATTGTGGTCCCTACAAATTAAATAAAAAATTATCTACACCAATAAAATAAGAATAAAAATTAAAAAAAAAGAAAAGATTAAATTTTAATTTTTATTTATTTATTTACAGCAACAAATTCAATGTCGTGGCATCAAAATTTGGTTTTCCTCTGGGCACTCTTCAACATCGTGCAGATGCAAAACTGCCTTGTTGTGCGGTGGTGGAACTCCATTATAGGCTTTCAGACGCTGGCCATTGACTTTGAAGATTGTCCCATCTTTTTTTTGTCAACAGCTCCATGGGGTAGACATAATGCACCTCAAATGGTTACTACAGCAAAATAGAGTTTTAGCTACATTTTTTAGTCCTACAGCGGCGTTTTTAAGCACCGCTAAAAGCAGTCGCGGAGATAGTAAAAATGACGCAAGAAGTGCCGGTCATACCAGTGCCGGTCATACCAGTGCCGCTAATGTTAGTGGCGTTTGTGAAATAAAAACGCCACAAAAAGTCAAGATCTATAGCAGCGTTTTTGAAACAAACGTCGTAAAAGGCCAGATCTATAGCGGCGTTTTTGTATACAAACACCGTAAAAGGTCGAGATCTATAGCAATTTTTTTTAACAAACGCCGCAAAAGGTCAGATCTATAGCGGCGTTTTTGGATACAAACACCGCAAAAGGTCAGATCTGTAGCGGCTCTTTTGGATAAAAACGACGAATTCTATCCATAGCATTGACTTCTCTTAGAAAGTCAAATTCATACCCAATCTTGAATAGCACAAAGGATCAATAAATAACAACATCCAAAAAGAACAATGAAACGCAAATCATGTGGAAGAATATTCTTAATTTACATAATCTAATAAGTAAATAAAGCACAAGTTAAACCAACAAATATATTATACCAACTTAATAGCTCGAGAACAATTGTCTAAAATGATTATAAATTTCATTAAAAGTTTTACCAACATGAATAAGTTGCATTTTTCATCAGATAGTAGATTCTGAACAAAACAATCATGCAAGAATGAATAAAAACAATGATATTCACTAAATCAAGTATTATTTGGAATATACAAATAGACCAGATGTACTAACTTGACATCACACCAAATTTTGAAATGACAAGTCAATAAGCTAAGCTATGCGAATAGAATTACATTCTGGTGATTAAAAATGATTAATTACAAATTGAATAATGTGATGAATCAACTCTAAAAGTCCTTCAGGGTGATAATTGTTTTTCCCACCCTCAAGTATGATGGTCCCTTATTTATTGTTGAAAACCATACCCATCATTGATCAAACTTTCTCCTAGCCATTGTTATTAATTACTTAACACTGGAAAGAAAGTAAAAAAAGTGAAGAAGACCCAGAAACAGAAGAAATTGGAAAACAAGGATAGATGTGCTTTGAAAGAATATCAATGTAAATACTGACACATGTTTTTCCATTTCCTTGGGAACAGAAAACAGATCAAATTTGATATATGTCTTTAGCATGTACAATGAAAATGCTTGCAAGTTACGGATGCCAGTTATCATCAGATCTTGGACTCCAGGATGTTGCACCTGCCATAAACTTTAAAGTTATAATCTCACGGACTTACCTTTGACTTCATGCTATAATATCATCGTAAACGGGACTTACCTTCACAACAACATCTTCCACATCACTTTTGAGTCTTGCTCGATAAACCTAATTTAGAGATGAAAACATATTAGGTATATTCCATAGGATTCTCATAAGGAATATCCTACCAGTACGAATTAAGAGTTAAGCCAATGACTTAAAAATAATAATATACAAAATTATCAAAACGGTGTCATTAAAGCTAAATTATGTAATAGCCTATAATATCTTGGCAAGTGTTAAGCTTATTTAATGAAAATATATGTTCTTTATCCGTTTTAATCATTAAAAGCTGCAAAGTTGAAAACATACCCTTCCCAGCCAACTCATTCAGAATTTCGAGCTATGTAAAGAAATGGAAAGTAGTACCAGCGCAATTGAAGCTGAACCAAGAGGATTTACATCAAACTTTTCAAAAACCTCGCCTATACTTCGACCCAACTCCTTCTCTAAAACAAGTTGAACAGCATCAAATGGTGTTGCAGGGGCTTGATCACACAGAGTAACAAGCTTTCTCACCCATGCAACTGGGGCTAGGTCTGGCTTCCCAATAATTTGAGCAACCTAAGAGCAAAGCATCCATCAAGCAATTAACGGATTTTTAATAAAATATGGAGATACTCTAAATCACTCTATGATTGGGGAACAAGTGAAAACAAAAGTGTGAAAGTAAAACAGGGTTTCAAGACGCAAAAGGGAACATAATCAAATAGGTACAAAACCATCCCTTGAATGAACTGAAAGAACACAAAAGAAAAGACTTTATAGTTTTCCAAGAGCTAAGAATAGCCCAAATAAAGCAATCAATAAGATAAACAAACAGAAAAGAAACTAATGAGTAAAAAAGACAAAACCTTGAATTGAATATTTTTTCACAACAAAACTCAAGTCATCACTCTTCAATTTGCCAACATAGTTTCAGACATGAGGATGAAGATTTGACTGTCCAAGGAATATATAATTACATGAAAGAACTTAAGAAAAATCCGAACATAACTACCCGTATCCAAAATCTATGTCCTTTCAAAACAATGAGGGAAGCGATAACAGTGAAGTGGTGGAGCTGAAATATTAAGAACGGCAAGAGATCACTACCATCGCCAAGGCCGGACATGTTGAAGTTAATCCCTTCGTTGTTGCTCATCGTGAAGAAATTGCATAAAGGAGAAATAAACAAGCTTGATTTTAGCAAGAAAATGGGAATCTAAAACCCTAGATACGATAAAAGTGGGAGAAGAGGGGAAGTTAAAAGGTGAGTGAGAAAGGCATTTATTTAAAAGGGGGAGAAGAGGGGAAGAAAAGGGGAATCTAAAACCCTAGATAAGTTCAAACAATTGTAGCATTTATTTAAAAAATGCCACTATAGATAAATACTATTGTGGTGTTTGTATAAAAATGCCACTAAAGTTCTAATATGTTACGACGTTTATTGAAAAAACGCCACTATAGGTAAATACTATTGTGGCTTTTGTATAAAAACGCCGCTAAAGTTATAATCTGTTGCGGCGTTTATTGAAAAAACACCACTATAGGTGAACCCTATTATGGCATTTATATAAAATAACCGCTAAAGTTCTAATCTGTTACGGTGTTTATTGAAAAAATGCCACTATAGGTGAACCCTATTATAACGTTTATATAAAAATACCGCTAAAGTACTAATCTATTGTGGCATTTTTGGACCTATTGAGGTGTTTGTATAAAAACGCTGTTATAGTATTAATCTGTTGCGACGTTTATTGAAAAAACGCCACTATAGATGGACCTATTGCGGCGTTTGTCAAAAAAACGCCACTATAGATGAACCCTATTATGGTGTTTGTAAAGAAACGCCGCTAAGGTTACCATTTTGTGGCGTTTGGAATGTAAACTTCACTATATGTTTAAATTTAGTGGCGTTTACTCTAAAAACGCCGCTAAAAACGTTGCTAAAGAACATTTTTACTGTAGTGGGTCCTAACCATCGAGATTTGAGCTTCCCAAGAAAACGTCGCTATAAAGCAAGACTTGTTAGCCCATATGAAAATGCCATGGCATCAGTTTTTGGCCATGCCACTTCTTGGTTTTCTCCTTGTATATCCAAGCATTCCCATATGCTTGTGCTCTAAACTCTTCCATTTCATTAAGTTCCATCAATCTCTTCTCCCTAGCTAGTTGAGCATCAAAATTCAATTGCTTGATGGCCCAATAAGCTTTATGTTCAAGTTTAACTGAGAGATGACAAGCTTTCCCATACACTAGCTTGAATGGTTACATCCCCAAAGAAGTTTTGAATACTGTTATGTATGTCCAAAGTTCTTCATCTAACTTCGGCGACCAATCCTTACGCCTTGGGTTCACCACTTTCTCTAAAATCTGCTTAATTTTTCGATTGAATATCTCAACTTGGCCATTTGTCTACAGATGATATGCCGTGAAAATCTTATGTCGATCTCTATATCTCCTTAATGCATTGGCAATCAACTTGTTATCAAAATGGGTTCCTTCATCACTAATGATAGCACGAGGTACTCCAAACTGAGTGAAAATATACTTGTGCAAAAACTTGAGTACGATTTTAGAGTCATTCCTTGATGTTGCTATTGCTTCCACCCACTTTGATACATAATCCACAGCAAGTAATATATATATATTTCCTCTAGAAGATGGGAATGGTCCCATAAAATCGATGCCCCAAACATCAAACAGCTCTATCTCCAAGATATTTTGCTATGGCATTTCATGACGCCTGGATATGTTTCCATTCCGTTGGCATCGATCACAAGTTTTGTAAAAATACTTGAGTATCTCTAAACAGAGTTGGCCAGTAAAAGCCTGATTGCAGGACCTTAGCAGCAGTCCTTGCTCAACCAAAATGGCCTCCACATGGGGCTGAATAACAATGGTACAAAATGTCATGTTGTTCTTCTTCGAGTACACATCGTCTAATGAGCTGATCGGCACATTGCTTAAACAAATATGGCTCATCCCAAAAATAGTGCCTTTTATCGTGCTTGAACTTCTTTTTGGTCTGGCTGTCTAAATCAAAAGGCAATATCCCACTAACAAGAAAATTAACAAGGTCAGCGTACCACGGGATTGTCGTGGCATATAAAATTTTCTCATCAAGAAATTCCTCTTGAATATCTACAGTGTCATGGCATTTAGAATTGTTCTCTAGCGTAGATAAGTGATCAGCAACTTGATTTTCAATTCCTTTTCTATCTACCACCTCTAAGTCGAATTCTTGTAAAAGTAAGATCCACCTAATAAGTCTAGGCTTGGCATCCTTTTTGTTCACTAAGTATTTTATAGCTGAATAATCAGTGTGAACAATAACTTTAGTGCCTATTAGGTAAGGTCTAAATTTATCAAAAGAAAATACCACGGCAAGTAATTCTTTCTCAGTGGTGGTGTAGTTCAATTGTGCTTCATTCAAAGTGCGACTAGATTAATAAATAACATGAAAAATTTTACCTCAGCGTTACCCCAAAACAACTCCTACAAATAATCACTTGCATCACACATCAACTCAAATGGTGATGTCCAATCGAGAGGAACTACAATAGGTGCCGAGATCAAGCGCCAATTTACCTCAGTGAATGCACCGAGGCATAACTCGTCAAACACAAAGGGTTGGTTTTGTTGAAGCAATGTGCACAAGGTCTTAGAAATCTTGGAGAAGTCTTTGATAAACCTTCTATATAATCCAGCATGTCCAAGAAAACTTCTTATACCCTTGACCGAAGTTGGTGGTGGAAACTTTTCAATCACTTCACTCTTCGCTTTGTCTACCTCGATACCCTTGTGAGAAATTTTGTGGCCCAATACAATGCCTTCAGTCACCATGAAGTGACATTTTTCCCAATTTAGGACCAACTCAGCCTTCTCGTATCTTTTGAGAACTCTTGCTAAATTGCCAAGGCATCGTTCAAAATCGTCTCCACAAACAGAAAAGTCATCCATGAAAATCTCCAAAAAAATCCTCAATCATGTCTGAAAATATGGCTTGCATACAGCGCTGAAATGTTGTCGGGGCATTACAGAGTCCAAAAGGCATCCTCCTAAAGCCAAAAATACCATAGGGACAAGTAAATGTAGTCTTTTCTTGGTCTTCTGGTGTGATGGCAATTTGATTATACCCCAAGTACCCATCCAAAAAGCAATAGAATGCTTTGTAGGCCAATCGATCCAACATTTGGTCGATGAAAGGTAGAGGAAAATGGTCCTTCTTTATAGCTTTATTGAGTTTCGATAGTCCATGCATATCCTCCATCCGATAACAGTGCGAGAGTTAGTAGCTCATTATCCTCATTAGTAACCACCGTCGTGCCTCTTTTCTTCGGAACACATTGGACATGGCTCATCCATGAGCTATTTGAGATAAGGTAAATTACTCCAGCATCAAGACACTATAGAATTTCTTTCATCACCACTTGCTTCATAATAGGGTTGAGTCTCCTTTGTGGTTATATTGAATTGCCATGGCAATCTTCGAGCAGAATCTTATGCATGAAGATCGTGGGACTAATTCCTTTTAAATCGGCCATAGTCCAACCAATTGCTCTCTTATATTGCACCAAAACACTTAACAAACTTTTCTCTTGCTTAGTAGTAAGGTTAGTAGAAATAATCACCGGTAAAGTTTCATCGCTACCTAAGTAAAAATATTTAAGATGCCCTGGCAAAGTCTTAAGCTCTAAAGTAGTTGTATGCAATAATGAAGGCTTACGAGGAATAAATTCATCATAATTCAGAGGTTCAAAATTCATATCTGACCTAGCTTGTAGTAAGCTAGATTGCTCCTCCAAAATTGGGAAGTTGTCATACTCCACTAAGCTTTCATCATCCTCCAATATTTTTTCTCTACTAGTTGAATAAAATTGTTCTGGAAAAGATGTTCAGTCTCTTCTTCAATCACTGAGTTCAATTCATAAATGTCTTGGCATTCTTCAGTGTCATCAACATACTTGAGAGTTCGAAACACATTGATGGTCACACATTGATCAGCCACTCTCATGGTGAGTTCACTTTTTTCACAGTCTATCAAGATACGTCCAGTGGCTAGGAAAGGTCTTCCCATAATAATAGGTGCCTTGGCATCAACTTCACAATCCAGAATTAAGAAGTCGACTGGAAACACAAACTTATTCACCCTTACTATGACATCTTCGATTCTCCCTTCAGGTTTAACATGGGATCTATCAGCAAGTTATAAAATAACCGAGGTGGGTCTTGCATCTCCTATGCCAAGCTTCAAGAATATAGATTTCGGCATTAAGTTGACACTTGAACCAAGATTACACAATGCCTTTCCAGCAAAATTAGGTCCTATCGAACAAGGAATAATGAAGCTACCCGGATCATTTCCCTTTGGTGGCAACTTACCCAATAAAGAACAAAATTATGTTGTCGTGGTAACAATCTCTACTTTCCTCTTCTTGGTATAGATTTCCTTCAGAAATTTAGCATACATCGACATCTTCTCAATAGCTTCCAAGAGAGGTACGTTGATATGGAGTTGATCAAGAATGCCCACGAACTTCTTGAACTGAACTTAATCATTATGCTTCTTCAATCTTTG